GAGGTCTGCCTGGACTCAGTAAGGTAAAGCGTTTTTGTGTGCCATTCAAGAAAAATGCTCACTGTGAAGTCTGCACTAAAGCTCAGGCTGAGAAAATGACCAAAGATAAAGAGTTGAGCACTAACCGTATGCAAGTAAGATCATCCAAAGAAGGTATGGACATGGAGAAGTCAGGTGAGCACCAGTAACATTTAAAAAGTATTAGGAGAAGAAAGCTAGTGTCATTGTTACCTTGAACCATCAACTTGACACAAACCTAGAGTCAGCTAGGAAGAAGGAATCTCAATTGAGAAATTGCCTCCATTGTATTACCCTGTGGGCATGCCTGTGGGGGACATCATTTCAATTAATGGTTGATGTGGGAGGGCCTAACCCATTGTACTCTTAGACAGGTGTGCCCAGGTTGTATAAAAAGGTAACTAAATGTGAGTCTGGAAGTAAGCCAGTAAATATCATTCCTCCATGGTGTCTGCTTCAGTTCCTGCCTTGAGTTCCTTCCCTCAATGATGGACTGTAAACCAATAAGATAAATTAACCCTTTCCTTTTCAGGTGGCTTTTGATCATGATGCTTTATCGCAGCAACATGTAAGCAAACTAGAATACCAAGGAAGACATCTCAGATGAGAAGTCCAGAAGAGCTGGAGAAGAAATGACTATGGACAAAGTATTGTAACTGAAGAAGCATTTATGATTGTCAACCACAGAAAGGATCCAGGAAAGCAGAACTCAATGTTACAGTCTTCATCTAGGTATGGGCAGCAGCGTTCTCAGCAGCCAATATATAAAAGCAGCCTAGGCACCCATCAACAGATGAAGAGCTGTTACATCTATATGAACACACATATATCCTTTGTAGATTTGCTAATTGACATTATTGAAGGGTAACAAGTTTTTTTTGTTATTTGTGTGTGTGTGTATAAAATATGATATGAAAATAAAAGATGGGGCTACAGGGGAAGAGGAAAGGGGCTGATGGGAGGGAAGAGGAGATAAGGAGGGCAATTAGAGGTGTGAATATGATCAAAGTACATGAGATACATGTACTACTGGGTCTTGAACCCCATTACTTTGTACAACAGTTCAGGTACAGTTTACAGAAGAGCTCGATGTATTTCTGACCAAGATGGCCAGTGAAATCTTAAAAGCAGACTTTCCGTAGAAGTGAGTTGAGGAATCAGTGAGAATAAACCTCGCGTATAGCAGGAATCTTAAAAGTTCTTATTAATAAAATCAATCCTGAGCCAGGTATTGGGGTCAACATTGGAAGATCAGAGAGACAGAACAAGCCACAGCTACCTCACCTGGCCAACTTCTCAGCTAGTCTTGTTTCCTCAGACTGGAAGTTTCTGTGTCCTCATCCCAATGGCTCTCAGCTGAACTGCTGCTTGAAAGCCTGAAGCTTAACCAGCTAAAAGCTTCTAGTTTCTGGTCCTCACGCCTTATATACCTTTCTGCTATCTGCCATCACTCCCTGGGATTAAAGGCTCGCTTCTTGGGATTAAAGGCGTGAGTCATCATGTTTGGCTGTATCCTTGAACAGATGGATTTCTGCCTCTGGAATGCTAGGATTAAAGGTGTGTGCTCCCACTGCCTATCCTAAGTATTTAGTGGCTTTTCTGTTCTCTGACCCCAGATAAGTTTATTAGGGTACACAATATGTTGGGGAACATAATACCACCACACTCGCGTGTAGGCCAATTCTGTCAAGAATTGTCACATAGTTTATTCAGGTCAGATCATTCATCACAAGTATAGGCCAATCCTGGGTTCACAAGGCACATCTGAATTCAGGGCAATGTTGTAATCAGATGCTGCCGGACTGAGTTTCACTAAAGACATAGATATTTAGCTATGTTCTAACATGTCATGCTCCTCCTTTCATGGTACATGGTTGCTTCTGTCTGACAGCTGTGCAGCCTCAGACATTTCTAGAAGCCAATGAGTAGCTCTCACCAGTGGAGGGGAGTCACTTCCAATCTAAGGCTTACAAAGGGGATTCTCCCCTCCTTCCTCATCTGTTGGCTTTGCATGAAAAACTCCAAGGCTCAAGGTCATGGCAGACCACAGGGGAAGGAGTCTATATATTCAAACTTTCAAGAGCAAACCCCCCAACTAGCCAACCACGCCACAGTGGGTTTTCCATATAACCAAAATTTGGAGTTTACTTGTTTTAACTGCTTTAATACAAACCATGTCTGAGCAAATTCTGTAATAAAGCTCTTTAGATGATTAACTTACAACTTAGGCAATTGATTTAAATGTTTTAATATGTGGCTGTGTTGGCATTATAGAAATACAGATTATAATGTGTGTTTGATGCAAAATTGAGACAATGCATCTCATCTTCCAATTCACTGTTTACAAACTTTACTAATTTAAAGTTTAGTGCTGCTATTCAAAGATAACAAGTGGCATCAAACACTAAATTAACTAATTAACTCAATTCAGAAAGCAAATTACGATTGGTAAATAAAATACAACTTTCTGTTGATGATTGAGTCTTAATGATCTGCCCATTATTTTGTGGGTTACATTAAGATGTCTTCAATCCATCATTTCTCTCAGAGACAGATAATTGTTGGATAGCCTTCCTTCGTGCGGGAAAGACAGATGTTTTTGTTTCTCAGGTGTCATTTTAAGGAAAGCTGGCATTTGCTCTGTGGCAGCATGGCCACATATGGCTCTGTATTCTATATAGGCTTAAGATTGAGGAGGTGAGAACATCTAGTACTCAGCTCTGGTCCACTTACAACCAGTGGCCGAGGAAGGGCTGTGCACAAGGAAAGAGGCATTTTTTCCTAATCTGTCAAAAATACCTCAATGTAGTCTTGCACATAAGTTTAGTAGTGGTTGAGTAGAATCTAGAATGGTCCATGTACACCAGGAGATACAATGCCATTCTTTCCAGAACAGTGTCCTAAGAGAGAACATACCATGTCCAGTTAATACTCTGATTTCTCTTTCTCTCCTGAAATTCTCAGCAACCACTGCTTTAAAGAGCTGAAAGGTGGAAGCTGTTCTCTGGAGGGTGATCCCAGGCCACTGGGTAGCTATGCCCATGGAGGGCTAAACATCAGTGCTCAGTGATTATGCCTCTCCCAGGGTGGCCCCCAAATGACTGCCAGGCTTCAGACTATCAAGCACAAGTTCTCTTTCTCATGCAGATCACCTTGCCAATAGAACACTCTGTGTGTCTCCCTCCTTCCCAGTCCTGTGTCTCTCACCTCCTCACTGAACTCCACAGGAAACATTTCCTGGGTAAACCACAGGCATGAGGGTCTTTAGAGCAAGACCCAGAGGTGTGGTCTCTTTGTGCCCAGAGAACCAGTCTGTGGATTCAACCTTTAGATCTCAATAAGATGTGTGAGTGAGTTGTGAGTGTATGTGTGTGTGAGAGTGTGTGAATGTGTGAGAGTAAGTGTGTAAGTGTAACTGTGTATGCATGTGGGTATATGTGAGTGTGAGTGTGTGTGTGTGTGTGTGTGTGTGTGTGTGTGCACATCAGGTGGTTTCCTCAGTTCCTTTCTATCTTACCATTTGAGGCAAGGTTCCTCACTGAATCTGGAGCTTTCCAGTTTGGCTAGGCAGGGTGGCCAGTGAGGGTTTGGAAACTGCCTATTACAGGTACATGACACCTCACCTGGCTTTTACATGGGTGTCATTCCATACAAATATTTATACACCATCAGGTGTAGTTGGTAGTGGAATAGAATGGAAACAATCAAGGTATGCAGTGATGAGGCTTTAGTTAGCCAAGGTGCATTCATATCATGGGCTATCAGACAGTGGGTGTAATTTAGATAATTTAAGAAATAAATGGACCTAAATGTTTCCCTTTCCCCCAAGACTAGTCTTCACCATCAAATGTGCATGTCTCTTGTCTTTATTACAGAAAATGCACTCATTCATAGGTTTACAGTGAGTTCCTAGGTAGTCTTAGGCAGTCTTAGTAGTTCTTAGGAGTCATCCATTAGTTAAGCAGGAAGAAAACTCTATGTGGAGCAACAGAATTCCAACTCCCATCCCATTTACTCTGTTTATTCTCTAGGAAACCATAAGCAAATCATTTTGCCTCCATGACTATGAGAAAAAAATCTTGTGTTCCTTCCAATATGAGGATCAAAACAAGCAGGTTTAATCACAAAAGGATTGGCTGGCTTTGTCACATTAGGACTTGGTAATGGAAAAAATAAATCCAAGATGAAAATGTCGGGCTCCAACAAGGCTGGGAATATTATCCAACAGTTAAATCGAAGGATTGGGTGAAGCATAGCCAAGGGATTAGAAATATTAAATATTTGGCTCAGAATTGTCTGAGTCCATTTGAGTGTGTTGGGAAGATTGCCTGGGGTCCTCCTCATTATATCCTCCTTCTTCAATAACGATAGAAATGCCTTGGAGAAGAGCAATTGCAGTGACTTTCTCTTCTTCCCTTTAAGGGAAGTTTAGTCATGTGATTAAGATGTGCCTAGTAGGATTCAAGAAAACACAGTGTGTGGTTGGTGGGTGGCACCCTCCAGGGAAGGACCCTGTGTCTCTGTGTCTTGTCCTTTGGAATGCGGACATAGTGGTAAGCCATCTTACACTACACTGACGGTCAGACCAGAGGAGCATTCTTTGCAAATATCTCATCAACACTGGTTCTACACAAATACTCATAATACAAATTAGGGCTTTGATAATTTGATCAGGAATTTGATAATGCAAAATAGGGGGCAACCATAAGAAAACACCACATATTGGTTGATTTCCATAGCAGAAATTTCTTTCTCACAGTTGTTGAAGATGAGAGTCAAGATTTGGATGTTGGAAGATTTAATTCTTATGTGGGCTTCATTCTTGGTTGCAGGCAGATGGCTTGGAGCCATGATATCCTTGCATAATATTTGCTCTGTGCATGTCAGGGAGGGAGGAAGCAGGGAAGGAAGGGGAGGGGGAGAGAGTGACTATGGGGGCGAGAAAACAAACCAATGTTATCAAATTAGAGTTCCACTCTTGACTTCATTTAACCTTAATTACTTCCCCCAAGTCCCAGTGTCCAAATACAGACACTGGGCTTAAAATGTCCACATATGGCTATGGACATGAGCCAGATACAATTCAGCCTGTCACAGTTCTGTTGCTCCATCAGTCTGGAATCTCTGCCTGCGCATTGCTATTCATCAAGGAGAGATGGGGAACATTCCTGGTGGTGAGGCACCTGCATTTCTTAAGTATCCGTCAATACTTGTTGAGTCATTTGTGTTGTGTGTTCTGAAAATCATAGCCTGTACCTAAACGCTTGGCATATATTTTGTGAAATTTAATTATAAATTAAGTTGGGAATGTATCTATACAGTAACAGAGAATACTCTTTTTCCGGTGTTAATACAAAGTGTTCAAGTTTTGCTGATAGTTATGGTGGAAAATTCACATCTCTTGACTGTAGAACTTTGGTTGGATTTTAATCTCTATAACTTGGGGATAACAGGCTCCTAGGTAGTTTATTATTAGCATGTAATTGGTGCTCACCAGTGTTTATGACTAGGTATCTCTTGGTCTTTCTTCTTTGTCTGGGCAGAGATTCCCTCAGATGGATCAAGTTTTGTGCTAGATTTTTCTTTACTGATCTTTACCATTAAAATCCAGCATGTTAATACTCATTTAGAGAATCTCTTATATGGCTAAATATATGAGAAACTAACTAATGAAATAATTTTAGGATACCAAAGGGTAAGGCTATCTTTAAGTTAAGGAACATTTTTTAAAAGTTTTGCGTATTTTTGTCATAAGAATATTGGGCAATGATTTTAGGTGGACTATGTCTCAGAAAGCTAATTTTTTTTTTTTTTTTTTTGGTTTTTTGAGACAGGGTTTCTCTGTGTAGCTTTGCACCTTTTCTGGAACTCACTTGGTAGCCCAGGCTGGCCTCAAACTCACAGAGATCGGCCTGCCTCTGCCTCCCGAGCGCTGAGATTAAAGGCGTGCACTACCACCTCCTGGCAAGAAAGCTAAATTTTTAAAAAATTAAAAATATATTTAACAAACTAATTGATTTTTTTGTTGTTGTTCTTGTTTTGTTTTTGTTTTGGTTTGGTTTTTGCTTTTTCTGCAAACAGTTTCTTGAGAAGAGTGGGAAAGGTCCTGAGACAGTATAGCGCTGGGTGGTCAGCAGAGCAGGGTAGGTCATGAGATGACCTCACCACAGCAGAGGAGGCTCCATAACTTCCTCTACAGCGAGAAGGAAACTTTGCAGTTTAATAAATCCGAAGGACCCTCAGGGAGACACTAGTCATGTGACTATGTTAATTTACTGCCATTGTTCTGGTTGTATTCAAGTCTCAGGCTCTATCTCTGTCTCTCTCTCTCTCTCTGTCTCTCTCTTTTTCTCTCTTTCTCCTCCACAGGTTTCCTACCTGCTTCTTTCTCTCCCTCTCTTCAAAGTTATTTGTCCTGTGTATAGGGAAATACCTGAGTGGATGCTTGTCACGTCCCCCTGCTATGTGCTCTTAGCCTCATGGTCTTTTTCTAAGACTTAATTTCCTGTATTTGTATATGACAAATTGATTAGCATATATAACTCCACTACCCTTAAAGTTTAATTAAAGCAAGAGTGGTTTGTTGTTATTGTTGTGATTTTTCTGTTCCTATTTCACAACTTCTTACACCTCTCTATACTTAGTGAAAAAACATTGGCACAAAGCAAAGGAACACAGTGGAAATTCAAGCAGAGTCAGGTCCTAAATACCTGTGTGCAACATGGATGCTATTGTTCCAAATAATGAAGCTTTTCCAGTACCCTGATCTCTGCACTCATGAGGCTGGCACTCAGGTAGGGTGGCTTTCTTTATTGTGGACAGCTCTCTGTACTGCCATCGGCATTTCTTTCCTCACTGAGATTTGCTTTGGCTAGGCCATTTGTCAGTATGATCAAATGAACTGTGGTCACCATGAATGGGCCCTGGCCCCTGTAGATGTAAACCGTCTTGTTAAGAAACACAGAGCCAATTGCAAAGTTAAAAGCCCAAGAGGTCAGAGCAAAAGCTAAGAGCTAAAAACCTTACCCTTCACTGCCGCTGCTGTCCTCCTCCACAAGAGACTTACTTCCTGTGTGTTTGTCCTTTTTATTGACTTTCTATTCTGCCTTCTCACTGGTTGTAAACCTAACCACATGACCTCCTCGTCACAGCCCATCTATACAGACCTCCAGGTCTTCTATGGTTGGTATTGAGATTAAAGGCGTGTGTCTCCATGCTGGCTGTATCCTTGACCATACAGAGATCTGCTTAGCTCTTCCTCCCAAGTTCTGGGATTAAAGACGTGCACCACCACCGCCCAGCTTCTGCTATGGCTTGCTGTTAGCTCTGACCCCCAGGCAACTTTATTTACTAACATACAAATAAAATCACATATCAGTACAAATAAAATATCACCATAGGCCCCTATGGCTATTCTCTAGGCAAGCCACCTCCAGTGTGACAAGGCTTCTTTTCTCTCCCACAAGTTGCTGTTAATCCACTTAAGAAGATACAGACACAGGTTCCTACTTGTGTCTTTTTCTGTGGCTTGTTGAGCTGAGCTGATCACTACCTATTGATGGGCCTCTTACAAGCAAGCTGCCAACCAGGCTAAACTGTCTGCTGGGGAATTTGAGGAAAATGTTAACTGGGGCTGAGTAGGAACTTCCCAAATTGCCAGCTCACCCTGACATTTAGGAGACATTTTGTGTGTGTAGCACAGTATCCTCATCTTCCCCCTGCCTTAGTATGGTGATGAATTCCTTCTTTGCAGGGTGGAGTTCACTGAACCGAAGTGCATGCTCACAGCTTACATCTAGCCAGGGGACAGAAAGATTGGCTCACATAGACTTTATGGACCAGCAGCTGCTGGCCTCATGGGACCAAGGCCTTCTGGGAGTTCAGATGCCTGAGGTGACTTTTTGCCAGCATATCATTGTTATCAAACCCCTCATCGGAGGCATGCAGGGGGATTTTGGACTTCGCCAGTGGGTCACATGTAGCTGGGCCTCCAGCATGGCTGGGTGCATGCATAACCTCTGGTGAGAACAATTTAAATGCACCATTAATCCCTTGATGGTCACGAGTAGCTGTACCCTGTGGGGTTCCAGTGGCAGGGCAAACAGCATCTAGGTTTTTATAATTTAGCAATGAAGCCGAAAGACTTAGCTCTGCATCTTGGTCCTTTTCCATGGTGTTGTTCCATATTCAACTTGTTAATTTTTTTTTGTTTGTTTTTTTTTAAGGAGCCCGTTCATTGACTCCACCAGTGAATGCCAGTACAGGCACAGATGTGATGTCCTTGCTTCCTGTTGAAGGTGAGCACATAGAAACAGATACATCTATACTCATCACGGCTAGCATGGTACCTGGAAAATGATGCTGGTAGCTGCAGAGGAGCCAAGTGGAATTTGGAATTTGTCTTTTAAAATTAAACCTCTGAATTTACCTGCTGTATTATTTTAATTTTTCACAGCATTTATTTATTTATTTGTTTGTTTGTTTTTTATTTATTTAGTGCACTGTCATGGCAGGGGGTGTCAGAGACAACTCATGGGAGTTGTTTCTCTCCTACAACAATGTAGGTTCCAGGTATCAAGTGCAGGTCTCAGACTTTGAAATGAGTGCCCTTGCCTGATGAACCATCTTGTTGGACTTATATCCACTTTTTAAGATAAAATAAGCTGTTAATCAGGGCTCTCTGGGTGAGCAGGATTGGTAGCTAAATATATAATACAAAGGGGACTTATTAGGTTGGCTTGTGCTGTACATTCAATAATAGATATCCACACAATGGAAGGGCTGAGGACCCAATTGTTGCTCAGTCCACAACACTTGGTGCCTCGGTGGTCCCAATTTGGTACTGAAGGCCCGAAGGATTCCTGGACATCCACTGGTCATCAGTCCATGTTGGAAGTGGAAGAAACCAGGTTCTTATGCCAAACCATCAGCAGGGTGGGTCTAGTCACCAGCAGTGGGTGAAAGTGTACAAACAAAGTTCAACATTGGATTTCTTTATATCTGGGCCACCACAAGAAGGGACCATCAGCTTTACCCTTCAGTCAGCCCTCCCAGGAAATATCCCCCCAGGCCTGCAGAGAAGCAAGTTTCTTAGTTGATTCCAGATCCAATCAAGCTGACAAGCAAGATCAAACATCACACTGACAGTTGCCATTATCGTGGTACCACAGTTTGGGGTGTTGATCTGATCATTTTAGAAAGAAAAACTTAGGATGATAATGCTACTGACTTCTGTAGTTCAAATGTGTTCCTTCCAAAATCCACAATGAAACTTAATCCTCAAAGCAATGCTACCATAACGTGGGGTCTATAGATCTTGAGGTATCCACCTCACCAACGGGGTTAAAGCCTTTTCTCACTCCATTCCTTCCACAAGTGCAAATTCAAGATATCATCTTGGAAACAGAGTTGATCCACTGCCAGCATTTCTATCTGGGTCTCCCCAGCTTCTAGAGCTGTAAAAGAATGAATGTCTCTTTTTAATAAATTGACCAGCCTCAGATATTTTGTTACAGCAGCTCACAGGAACTAATGCACCATGATTGATGTAAAGTTCAAAATCGGTCTTAACTGCCCTGGATATATGCTGCCAGGACCACTAGAATAAAAGCATTATACCAGTATATGAATGGTTAGAGCATACTTAGGTGTTGGTGGTGGCTATATCTGAGGAGGGGACTCAAATTCCACACATACCTAGGTAGGATTCAGGGAAAGACATGGCCATGGAAGTTTCTGGTTAATGGAGATAACAGAGAAATGGCATTGGGAAGCACCATTAGCATTATAGATTAGCAAACTGAGCCTCCCTCCTGTCTGCAATTAACAAACATTTCAGACCTGTTTGAAGAGAAAAATACACATAACCTGATCTATTATTTTGCCAATGGAGAAATGGTCAACCAACAGGTGAAATGACTTGTCTAAGAGAAAACAGCTGGCTGGTGGCAGAGGTGCATATGCCTACAACGAGGATTTCTGACATTTAGAGTGATGTCAGTAGAAATAGAGTTTCTAGGTGGGAACTCAACACACAAACAGTATTTTTTTCTAATTTCTCCCTGCAGTGACCTTGTCCACATCCCTGGAACTTGTAAATGTGTCTTTGCAGTTATAACTAATGGAGGCTCTTGAGAGAGTATTCTATGTCGGTGGGCTCTAAATACAACCAGAGTGTCTTGGAGAGAGAAAACATGGGCAGAGAAGGAGAGGGCAACATGACCACAAACACATTAATTAGATGATGCAGCTTTAAAAAAAAAGCCACCAAACACCAGATGCTGGAAGAGCCAGGGAAAGTCTTCTTCTCCAGCTTCCTTCAGATTTCTGGATGCCGAAGCCTTGTAAGAATACATTTCTGTTGCTTTAAACCTCAAGCTGAGTGTGACATGTCACAGCGATGCCAGGCACCTCACACTTTACACACTGAAGAAGGAAATCCCATTTCCTAATTCTGCTGTCACTTCTTGTCCCTCTTGAATGAGGATAGTCACAGATCACTTGTTATCTTAAGTAAATGGCAGTTAGTGCTACCAGGGCCCCCAGCTCAGCACTACAGCCTCCCTGGAATCCAGGGTAATGTACTGGAGAGAGAGCCCAGTTTGGCTCATTGAATCTTAGGAAATTTTATTGATCTCATGATGCCTGCTGGCATCTTGGGGACAGGCAATAAAATATTGCAAGCTTCTTCCAGTCTTCAGTAAGAAAATTCCATTACTATTGATACTGTTTTTATGTCTATTCATGTTGTATAATTTCCCCCATCCATCCTACCCAACAGTTACCACAACCATCTACATCACACACTGTGCTCCTGATGACGTCTCAGGAAGTCCAGAGGAAACAAACCTACTGTGTGGGCTCATAAGTCAGGGATTGTGAGTTGAGGTCACACCTGGTCACTGCGTGTGAGCATGAGGCATCACATAATATCCCCCTTGCAAATCTGGCAAAGTCCCCATAGAGCTCTGGGTACCTCAACATCCCAACACATTATGTGTCACTGCCCAGGTTCATCTTCAACAAACAGGACCAGTACAGAAATACAGAAACTCTGTATGATCAAGAAGCAAAGAAGGGAAGGGCTTCCATTCTAAGAGTTCTGAGACACATGGCTACATTCCCCTCCCTCAACCTCAAAGGGTGATCTTGGCTGACAAAATCAGTGACTAGGGACGCCTGGAATGTTTTGGTCAAGTCTTCCTGGCCCTTTAATTTCACTCTAAAGGAAAATCTGCCTAACAAATTGTTGCAGTTAATTTTCAGGCTTTCCCTAAAGACTTTCATTCTCTGATGGACTCAGCAAACTGAAGATGTTCATTAAATTAAAATTACTTTTTGGCTTTGAACGACAACATGTTTCCTGGAGCAGTGTTGCTTGGACATAGAGTAGTGTTTTGCTTTGTTTTAAAAGAGATCAAACTGTTTCTTGGTATATGACCAAGGCAGCAGCATTAATCCTTCCAGCTTCAGGGAAGAATAGTTTTTCCATGAATATGGCAGTGGCTTCACATTTTTTGGGAATATATATCCACAAATCTTACTGAGATAAGTCTAAGTTTGCACAAATTTTTGTACTTTAACTGTGTATCAAAGTTCTCTAAGATTTGCTGATTTGCTCACTGGTGTGTAGTTTTGCATTAAATACTTGTTATACATCTACTGTGAATGCCTCTTCTTTCTCCTTTAGTTCTTTGACATGTTTGTGTGTGAGAGAGTATGTGTGAAAACTACAGAAAATGTTCAACAAAACTCTATCAAACCTAATCCAAAATCATTCTGAAAGACTCAATATGATGACCAATTGGGGCTGATACAAGGGATGCACGGATGGCCCTGTGTATGCAAATCAATGTATTTAACATAGCCCATCAATGGATTAAACAGAAAAAACATGACATCGAAGTTGATGCAGAACATGCATTCAATCCTTTGGAATAAGGAACCATGACTTGGGTATAGGAGGATTCTCCTTTAACACAGTAAAGTCTGTATGCAACAAGCTCACGGACACCTTACTAAAGAGACAAATCTAGGTGAACTTATTCTTAAGTTACAGTATACAACAAGGAGATTGGCATTCACCACTCCTGGTCAATAGTATTGGAAACTTCATCCAGAGTAATTCTGTAAGAAAAAAAAAGTGTGTGAGAGGATCCAAATGGAAAATTAAGTTAAATTGTTTTTATTTACAGATAACATAATTTCATATGTCAAAAAACTATAAAGACTCCTATGAAGTTGATAGAACTGATGGAGAATTTAATGCTGTAAGATACAAATTAAGACAAAAAAGTAGCATCATTACATAATGATAATAAACTGAAAAGACATCAAAACAGCTGCCAAAGAAACTTATCTCGGAAAACTTTAATAAAGGGAGTGAAAAAGTTTCTCCAATGAATAACATAAAATATTGACGGAAGAAATTATACAGACCACAAAATTGGAAAGACATGTTAGGCTCCTTGATTAGAAAAGAGAATGTAGTTAAACTGTCCACACGATCTAATATTAGCCTCAACTTCAAAGAAAGTTCCATTGAGTTCCCAATGGCATTCTTCACAGAACTAGAAAAAAGTAGAGACTTCATGTGGAATCAGCATGGGAGTCAGCAATCCCACCACTGTCTGTACTCCTGTGATCACTGCAGCAGCATTCACAGCAGCCAAGAATGGGACCCAACTGAGATGTCGATCAGTGGAAAAATGAATATGAAAATCCAGTGTTTATATGGAGGACATTGCGTTAAGGGAGATAAGTCAGGCATGGAAAGACAACACCTAGGCTCTTACTGCTGACCACATAGAGGGGCATGGCAGAAGTCACCTGAAGCCAGAAGGGAGAATAGTGAGAGGGTAATAATGGGGCTCCAAAACAAATCAGTGGTGTAAAGGTGCAAAAATGAAACATAGTACAAGAGCAAAGTGATAGTATGTGACATCTTACTACAGACTTAAAGTAGGTAAGGGAGGACAGTTTAAGGTTCCCAATGTCTATAGAAGTGAGAGGACAAGGGGAGATGGAAATGATAATTACCCTAATTTGATCACAGTGTATATATGTGTTTAATTATGACACTATATCCCATAAACCCAAAAAATATTTTGCCAGTTGGAAGTAAATGTTTTAAAAACAAAGCTAATAAATAACCTTACAGTGCGTAGATTTCATAGATTCAAAACTTATAGTTGAAGCAGGGAAATTTCATGACAGTTTCAAGAATATAAAATACACACAAATAAAACAGTTGGTGCCAGTTGGTGGGGGTTTGTTAAAGACAGTGAAAATGCACCAAGTTGTTGATTGCAGTTTTCCCTGAGACAGATATCAAATGAGAAGACCGGATTGGACATCAGTCAGTCCCTGTAAACTGAATCAATCTTCTTTTTCCTTCCTAAATGGTATACACATGCATGTCAGCACTTGAACTGGTTCCATATTTCACTTAAGTCAATCAATATTTATTCATCTCATTACAGCAGAGCTTAAAATATAACACACAGATAGTTAAGCATTAACTCAAACTCAGCTACTCTGCTAGATGATGGTGTGTGCATGTGTGTTAGAACTAAGGCTTGAGACGTGAAGCTCAGTAGTGACAGTTGGTGTTCCAATGTTGTCCATTTTATAGTTATGAACATGTGTATTTTAACTATGGAGATGCAATTCCACACCTCATCCTTTGAGTCAGTGCTACAGTACCTTATGTGTGTCCTCCACTGTACTTCAGCTAAGCCTTGAGCAGCTGGCTCATTTCAGACAGTAGAACATATTGTTGAAGTCATAGACCTCATGGTCACAAGCCTGGGTATCACATCTTTATTTCAGAAGCAATTCTTTGTTTTAGGCTGTTGCCTGTTATTTATTGTGGTGATGGCAAAGATAGCCCATAAGCTTCCTTCTAGTTTTCTTGGGTGTCTGGCAGATGGAAGGTAAAAACAATTCTATCACATATCAATTTGATGTTGAACTTCAGCCTTCTCAGGGTAGAACTGTCTACAGGACTTAGGCTACTGGCAGATGGTCTGTTAGTTGAATCTGTCACTATCATCCAGAACCAACCCTTTACATCTTGACATCTGTGATATAGTTCTCTTTGAAGACTTGTGGGGAGAACTGGGGCTAATGATAAGGGTTACTTTTCTTTAATCATTTTTGTTGAAATTATAAAACAAAAATGACTCATGATAAAGTGAAAGATGATGAAATATTAGTGTATCAAATAACTCATTAACCTGCCAGGACAGAAACTAGGCTCATATAGGAAATTCATGAGGAAGTTTCTATTTTGGATTGTTTTTAGCATCTGGACCACATGTTTGATGCCGTAGTGCATTCCAGGAATCAGCCACTTCTTTGTTTAAACTTTTGTCCTATTTTTAAATAAAAATTATCTTAGTTGGTGTAAAAAATAATGGGTCTTGCGATGACATTTTCATCTGTAAATGTCATTGTGTTTCTTTTGTAAAGATTTATTTTCTATTTAGTCACATGTATGTGTGTCTGGATGTGGATATGTGCATATGAGTTCAGGTGTCCACAGAGGCCAGAGGTGTGGGTACCTTGGAGTTGGAGTTACAGGAGGTCGTTAGCCACTGGGTGCTGGGAATCCAACTCTGGTCTTCTGAAAGATCAGGATTTGCTCTTAACCACAAAGCCATCTCTCCAGCCCCAGGTTATCATGTTTCTGCTATACACTTATTTCATGTTATGTCTCTAAATTCTGTATCTTCAAAAATTTCATTTTTGCAAAGACATGATATTTCTAAGAAGATTATGTGTTATGCAGAAGAGTAATTGAGTGACTGCATGCTTTACAGTCCAGAGTGAAGGGGTAGTTCCCTAAGCTTTCCTGGTGACATTGACTTTCATGAAAGAAATCAGGAAGTGATTGTCTTACCCATTGCCTGTCTTCCCTATAGGAAGAAGTGTAGCTGTGTGTTCTGAGAAACCCAGCAGTCCTTGCGGGAGGCCCATGGTCTTGCAATAGCATGGAAACCCTAACTATCAACAAAGGTGATTTTTAAAAAAAAAAAAAAAAACTAGTCACACATGCCTGGAACTCAAGAGAGTTCAAATCAACCTCAGCTACATTGTAAGTTTTAGACTATCATAGGCTGTATAGGAAGGAAGGAGATGGAGAGAGGAGAAAGACAATGAGAGAGAAAGAGAAAGAGAGAGAGAGTGAGAGAGCGAGAGCGAGCATTGTTTCACAGTTCTGTGAAAGTAGCCCTTAATACTAGGGAAACAGTAAACTTGAGTCTTTTTTTTGAATTTTTCTAATTTTTCCAACTGTAAACTGAAAGCACAGCTGTGGGTGGGTGTGTTTATATTAAAACAATCTCCAGCTGACTCCTCTGATTTAGGAATGTTAGGAAATATCATCCCACAGCATGTGGTTGCAAACAACCACTCTAGGGTCCAAACTGTCTTGACCTTTGCTTTTTTAAATAAAGTTTTATTGTGACTTAACCACATCTCAAGTTGAGTAGGTGCAAATGCCTAGGAAAGCCAAGACATTTACTCTCCTTTTCAGAAAAGTTTGTTGAAGTGGTACAGACATGGGAGGCACAGAGGAGAGAAACAGACCTCTCAGTCTGGAACTGTAGTGCAGCATTTGGTCCAAAGCAAATAGCCATTTATCTAACTTTCCTGGGAGTCAAGCAATTTCAAGGAATGATTGCTCCTTCAATTAATTAAGATGCATTGAATCCAAAATGCCTTTAGAAATATTTTTAAATATTTAAGATATGAAGCACCTTTTCCTTTGGGAAGATTGCCAGGTATAACACATCTAAGCCAATTAAAGCAAGATTATGTGCTGAAGTGTATGTTACCAGCTGAAAGAACCAGAAATTGAAAGATGAGTTAAGATAGGATCAGTGTGAGCAACAGAAGATAAGGAAAGTGCAGAGGAAGTGTGAGATTTGGGTAGGCATGGGAGGATCAAGTAGTAAAGGTATACTCTTCTGTTTGAGTGGTTGATTAGATAGCTCATTGGTTGATCCATGCTAAGAGTTTACAATCTGATAAGCAACAGGAAATAAAGCTGATGGTATACTTGCAGCATAGGAAGCTGTCCCCGGCTAACGGCTTAGAATAAGTATCTGTTATCCACATTTTAGAAGGTTCTGAATGTAGGAAAGACTCAGTTGGGTGGTTCCAGTCTTGGGTTTCTTCTGAGGTTAAATTTAATCCGTGTATTGAGGCTGCAGATGAAAGATGGTCCAAGGCCTGAGAGTCTACTTCCAAGGGGCTCAGTCACATGGGCTAAGATGGCCTACAGTCTTTCTGGCTGTAAGCAGGAGAGCTTTGTTCTGTGACTCAAGGATGCTTGCATATGGCTGCCTGACTGTCCCCATGACATGGCAAGTGGTTTTCTTTCAGGGAGGGGAACTCAAGGGAGATAGAGAGGGAGAAAGTTTCATTGCTATTTATGACCTCAGAAGGAGGTCTACCATCTCTTTCACAATATTCAACTTGTTCAGTGTGAGTCAGGCAGGGTGCTAAAAAATGGGTTCAGCAGTTAAGAGCGCTTGCTGCTCTTCCAGAAGATCCAAGTCCAGTTCCCAGCACCCACATAAAGTAGCTTATAACTTCCTGAAACTACAGTTCCAGAAGATGTGACATCCTCTTC